AAGCGTTTGGTGCACCGCATTCGTCGTATTCGGCCAGAATATCGCGAAGGAGGAAGTTGGCGCTTGTTACACGATAATGCGCCATCTCACCGTTCGACACTTGTCACTGATTTTTTGACTAAAAATCACATTTTAACAATCAACCATTCCCCGTATTCGCCTGATATGGCACCTTGTGACTTCTACCTATTCGGCAAAATGCATTTGTCCATGAAAGGAAAGCGGTATGTGGACGTAGAAGACATCCAAAGGGCTTGTACTACTATTCTGAAGGACGTGCCTTTGAACGACATAAAACACTCATTTGAAATGCTTTTAGATCGTGCCAAACGTTGTATTGAGTCCGACGGGGACTACTTTGAATAAACAATTTGAATTTGAAAAAAAAAGTAAACCGTTGTTGTTTTATTTCAAAAGTTCGGAAAATTTTGGGACGCACCTTGTATTATATACATATCTATATACAAATTATACATATATATTATTTTGTTTTCTTGACAAGGAAAAAAAAATTATATTTAGTTTTAATCGGCCTCTCAGCTCAAAAGCTTCCATTTCATGCCAAAAGAATATCCCTAATTTTTCTGGAATCTCCTACAGAGCCTTTAAAAGCATTTAATTGAGTTATAAAATGTTTTTAAGGATAGAAAAATTGTTTTTACAAGTTCTAAAGTATATTGTTTTGTGTTTTAACATTCTCAAATCAAATGTCTCAATTTGACAATAAAAAACTCTTTATAATATTATAAAATGAAATGAATACATAATAAAAAATATATTACATCATAGTTTATTTCAATTAATTAAATCTTTTTTTTGTATTATGTACTCATTTTATTTCATTTCCTTGAACTCGAAATTTGATTATTTTTTTTACATCAATTGGGCTGTACTTCTTAAGGCGTATATCGTAGAGTTGAATTATTGCATCGTGTCCAGCGACTAAAAAAACATACCATATTTAAAACTCGGATTAAGTCATTTTTGCATTAAATCAAACATTAAGGAAATTTTGATTTAAAAATCGTTTACTAGCGACTTCTAAATCTTAATATTTTTTAATAAAAATTTAGGAATGTTCTTTTAACATGAAATGAAAACTTTTGAACTGAAGCCGATTAAAAAAAAATGTTTTTTCTTATCAGTCTAATATATCTTTTCTTATTATACCTGCGGTAGGAACTCTAAAAGGATTCCTTGGAATATCAATCCAGGCTATCTTAGTGATACATATTAGCACATCATAAAATGATAATTGTTCCAGTCTTTCAATTTCATCGTTAGTGAAAAGTCTACAAAGAAAATCATATCGAATGTTTATTGTTTATTAAATCAATTATATGGATAATATGCAATATATGCAAACGTGAAATTGTGTAAATTAATTGTAAAATAGTAATTTGCGATTATGCACTCATTTGCAGTATTGTTATACCAAAACATATCACTATGGCGTATTCGCTGAAATTGATCACGAATGATTCTTTGAAACAATTCTCTGAATCCATCACTAATCTCTAGTATTTTGTCTACTCAAACATCCACGTCATCGAATGAATTGTTGTATAATCTGAAAAACTTCTCCTGGATCTTACACGAAATACGCGAATATTTTTCTTACAAATTCTTTTGCTAACTGTATAAAAAAATGGATTTTATACAACATATCGATACATCTATACGATTAAAATGGGATACATGATTAACTTTCATCATAGACACGACGGACGCTATTATAATAAGATATCTCATGGTCCTCTCTGAATATTAAGTGCCATATCAAAATCCGTTCTAGAAAATTTTAATGGATCGAATAAACTATCCGTAGATCTTCAACGATTTTATGATCCTCCTCTTCGCACAATTAAATAGCCGTCCCTATTAGTAATTTCTCCACATCAATATTTTATTCTTGTTAAATTGGCATAGAGAGAATTCACATCACATGTGCGTTTTGAACGTCGAAACATCAAAATATATAATTGTCAATACCTATCACATCCAATAATTATTGCATATTCTAATTGGATATAGTTCCAAGGAGCAATTATTCTTCTCATAGTTGTGAATATAATATACATTTAATATTATGATTATTGCGATTATCGTGGCAATGTTATTATTAAACAATAAAAAATATATTAACAGACAGACAATTGAGAGCAAAAATTAAGACGCAGTAATTAAAGCGTTGTACATTAACAATGTATTTCGAAGACTTTATAATATGATGAAATCGGACGTTTCGGCTCAATTCAAGCCATCATCAGCGATGTCCAAATAATATTAATAATAATTCCCGACAAAATCCAAGCCTGCAGCTAAAAAAAGGAGCCTCCTCAAATTCAAACTTGCGAAGCATTATTGTCAATTAGTTGAATAGTTAAATGATCACTAAAGACTCAATTTTTATTGAGACAATGGCAAGCACAGAATGATCAAAGAACTCACCGCTGCGAACCATGATCTATATATCAAAACCTTTTACAGAAACGTATGAATACAAATATTGGGTGGATCCATATATTCGTTCGGTTTTTGTTAGTAGTGCAAAAACAGAGAATCATATTGATTAAAATTCATTCTTTGTATGAAAAAAACTTGTTTCATTTTACCTTCAAAAACCGAACGAATATATGGATCCCCCCATTCGTTAAGAGGATCGTGTCATTATTGCGACCGTAATGTTATTATTATTATTATTATTATTATTATTATTATTATTATTATTATTATTATTATTATTGGGAGTACAAATTAGTTCGGTCCGTTTTCCAAAAGATCAGCTTCGGCTGTTGTGAATGGTTCATAGTGACAGCTGATTTTGGCATTTTCAGAGAGGTTAGACATCTGCTAATAATATTCAGTTTATGTCGCTTTGAATTACAAAAATCTTGATTTTTACTGTGTTTGAAATGTCGAATTTTGTGTTAACCAACTAGCGTTTGCGGGAGGTTCTAATTTTCTGCTTTAATTGGAAGAAAAGTGCAGCTGAAGCCCATCGAATGCTTGTCGAAGTTTATGACACTGTTCCAACTGATAAATCATGTAGGAAATGGTTTCAATGTTTCAAGGATGGAGATTTCAACGTTGAAGACAAGCCTCGCTCTGGACAGCCAAAAAAAATTCGAAGACAAAGAATTAGAGGCATTACTCGAAGAAGATCAGAGTCAAACGCAAGAGGAGCTTGCAGAATCATTAGGAGTAACTCAACAAGCCGTCGTTTCGCGATTAAGAGCCATGGGAATAATTCAAAAACAAGGAAATTGGGTGTCTTATGAACTAAAACCGAGAGACGTTGAAAGGCGATTTTTCACTTGCGTTTTTCACAGCTGATTCAAAGACAACAAAGAAAAGGTTATTTGCATCGGATTGTGACTGGAGGTGAGAAGTGGATATTCTATGACAATCCCAAGAAAAAATACTACGCTAAGCCCGGGCAATCAGAATATGAGCAAAGACATGAAAGTTATTTTTCTTCATAACAACGCTCGGCCTCATGTCGCAAAAGTCGTAAAAAAATATTTGGAAACGCTCAAATGGAATGTTTTACCGCACCCGTCGTATTCTCCGGACATTGCTCCTTCTGATTATTGGTTGTTCCGAAGGATGCAGCACGATTTGGCAAGTCATCGGTTCACTTCTTTCGCAGAAATCGAAAATTGACTCCAAAATTGGATCGCCTCCAAAGATAAGTCATTTTTTCGAGATGGAATTCGAAAATTGCCTGAGAGATGGGAAAAAGTAGTAGCCAGCGATGGACAATACTTTAATTAATCTGTTCATTCATTTTGTTTTGAAATAAATGCATTTTTGAACACAAAAAAACAGACCAAACTAATTTGTACTCCCAATTTATTATTATTGTAATTATAACATACATCTTTAGATTATAAGGCGCAGTTTTATATCTTACGACTTTTAATTAATACAAGCTGTTAGTGTTATCTGTTAGTGTTAATTAAAAATCAAGTTTTTTTGTATCACCTTGTACCTTATACAATTGAATGAGAAAAAGAACGCAAACACATGAATAACATGTTGCAATATTATCAACGTCGACGATATGTCGTATATATGATATTTGTTGTTAAGAGTTGAGAAATAAAATTGTTTACCTGGTGGAACCGAGGTGTGCACAAAGCTAAAAGCGGCCGATTGAAAAAATTGTTCTATCTGCGGATCGATATTGGGATTGTAACCTTTGAACAAATTATCATTTGAATTACATATAAATTACAAGTAATAATAAATAATAAATTGTTATCTAATAAATTGTTATCTATTGTGTACGTAAAATTAGAAAAGTGATACTTTTTACCTTCATACACAGGAAGCCTTTTTTTCAATCATGAAGGCAACTATTCGTTGACAACAATGTGTTGCTGAGTCGCTATCATCCATTTACGGGCTTCATTAAAAATTTCGATCAATTTGAATTGTGATATTTAACATGAGATGCTACGAAATTGAGTCATCTAAATCATATTATACCGAAAGTTAGCAGGAACGGATTTTCATATAATATGGCTTTTTCCTCGAGGATTTTCTAATTCTGAAACACACATGTTTGAATTGCATTGAAATCAAATCAGGCGATAACGATCAGAAGTTTGCTCGAAATTTAATTAAAACTGATTACGGTATTTAATTTAAAATGTATCTTGCTCGATTATTGAGGAGTAAAGAGATACTGCGGGTGAAGATTCCCACAGGCAAAACGTCCCATAGATCGGTCACGAAGATGACAGTGCGCGAAGCGTTAAATATGGCTCTCGACGAGGAGTTAGCTCGGGACGAGAAGGTATTCATATTAGGAGAAGAAGTTGCAGAATTTGACGGCGCTTACAAAATAACGCGTGGTCTCTGGAAGAAATATGGTGACAAGAGACTGATCGATACACCAATTACGGAGGCTGGATTCTGCGGTATTGCCGTCGGTGCAGCGATACTAGGTCTAAGACCGATATGCGAATTTATGACTTTCAATTTCTCTATGCAAGCCATTGATCGTATTGTCAATGGTGCTGCGAAGAATCTCTACATGTCCGCTGGAAGATTTCCCGTTCCTGTTCTATTCCGAGGACCGAATGGTAATGCCAAAGGTTTGGCTGCACAGCACTCTCAATGTTTTGCCGCATGGTTCATGAGTACGCCTGGCTTGAAAGTCGTGTCGCCGTCGACCTGCGAAGATTACAGGGGCTGCTTGAAAGCTGCCGTACGAGATCCCGATCCCGTAATCATGTTGGAGAGTGAACTGCTTTACAGCATTCAGTTTTCCGTGTCCGATCAAGCTATGGACAAGGACTACCAGATACCTTTCGGCAAAGCTAAGATAGAGAGACCTGGAAAGCACATCACTCTAGTGACACATGGCCAGGCGTACGTGTATACGCTTCAAGCGGCCGAGTTGTTGGCAGGACAAGGAATCGAGGCGGAAGTTATCAATCTACGATCGCTGAGACCTTTGGATTGGGACATGGTATTCAAATCGATCAGCAAAACACACAGGTTAATGACCGTCGAACTGGGCTGGCCTAGATGCGGAGTAGGAGCCGAGATCGTCGCGACAGTGATGGAAAATCCAGTCTTCTTTCAGCTGGATGCACCTGCGGTTCGATGCACCGGCGTTGACGTTCCGATGCCTTATTCAGAGAAGATCGAGGACGAATGTACCCCGAAGGATCATCATATAGTTGACTACGCTAAACGCATCTGTGGCACAAAATTCTGATATAGTTTATTGGACAATAAAGTTTCTCACTTACTGAAATATCTGATGACACTTTTGATGTAATGCCGTGAAACATATTGATGATGATGAAGTGGCACTGGATTAGCCATCGGTAATCTAACGGTATTATAATCGGGATACAGAGGAAAATCTGACGATGCGAGTTGCCCGTACTCCTGCAATGGTAGTCGGACCACTTTGGATATACTATAAATCAATCCAATTAAGTATGGTGTAATCTCGTTCAGCTGCGATATATTGCATATTGAAGTTTTGACTTGAGCAATGTTGAAAAACAACGTCGCTTGCTATGTTTCGAGAACCGTAAGATTGTCGTACCTGTTGACGAGGATTATTCGACGAATGATCCATCCGATAATCGTATCGTGTACGTTAAACAGGCATTTCTGTATGTTCTGGTTTACTTCTATATCGATGATTCTTTGGAATTTTTATGTTAATATATTCGGGTGGGCATGCTGGTCTCTGAGCATCTAAAATTTTCTCCATCATCTGTTGACTTGTTGAGGATACATTTTTCCGTTGTATTACGTTTTATATAATAATACTATCCTAGTCTTAACTAGTTATCATTTAGTTCCTGAAATTCTAAAAAACTCAACAAATAGGAAATAGGAAATTGCTATAACGAATGTTAACATCTAAAAAATGTGTGTGAAATACAGGGTTGGCCATATTCGACGGAAAGATCTGGCAACACTGTAACTTTTGACAGAGATGTTAGATCGAGTAACGACGTTTCCCATGATTGAAAAAAAAAACATCTTTCCGTCGAATATGGCCAACCCTGTACACATTTAATCAATATAATATAGGACCGTATATGTGATAACACAAATTATAGAAATCAAAGCTTTAAACTAGTCTAGTTGGATCTTAAATGCTTATATGATTCTTGTGTGAATTTATACACATTTAATCTGGTAGATGATAAATATGTGCGCGTGCATAATTTACATTATTTTTCTGTAAATTTATATACACGGAATATATTAAACAGAATATATTCATCTATAAAATATAAAATTATAAAGAAAGATTTTCCTTAAATTTATATATGATATAATTTATCATATATTGATAAATTCGAGGTGTAAATTTATCAATGATAGTAATGTAATTTTAAATATTTAATATAGTTGTATATATAAGATAAATCATATTCATACATAGTAGAACGTTTCTCTCCGTTCTTGATTTATCTAATTTTTCCACTCAGTAGTTTCTCACTTATCTCTAATGGTCTTTTAGAGCCTGAAGGCTTATACACTTCATCTTCGTAAGCTGTTGGCAGTCTTCTTAATAACGGAGTATCGACTGCCCGTAGTTCTGATCTACCAACGTTATTGTATCATCCGTCGTAACTAGGATATTCAATTGCAGTATGATACGGTGAGTACTATTTATTCAGTTGATTATTATTATGTCCACTCCAACATCCAGTAAATAATCAATCTGTCAAGTCCTTGTCGAAAGTCTTGTCAATTTCTTTTTTTCAATTTCTTGCCCGATTTCTTGAAATCTAGGATATAGACAGAAACATACCATAATGTCAATTCAATATGTAGAAACTGTAAAACGAAAAAGCAAAACGCATATAAGAGATGATTTAAAAAGAAACAAGATTTATATCCATATTTATGTAAATTATAATATGAAATATTTGTATGTATGTATGTATTATATATACGTACATTTATTTGGGTTTTGACACGGATATAGATGGAAGTTGCTGTTGTAGTGTTTTGTACAGTAATTACGATAAAAAAAAATGAATAAATTTAAAGTAAGATACATGTTGTTAATGCGACATATATAAAGAATAAATGTAATAAGTACGTGTATATCACATAAGAATTCTCTCTTTCAGCATTATCCTCTATTTAGAGCTGCAACAATTTCTACTCAATGATTTCGTTAGCGGCTTGATTCGAGAAACTACTTCCTCTTCGTATGATAAAAATACATACACAGGAAACGAAAAATCTAAATTATTGGCAAATATAATTAAACCTTGAGCAAGATTATATTACGAGTTTTTATTTAATAATTCATTACGATTCATTATGATTATATGTAATTCTACTACTACGTTATAGAAATTGAGCGTAAAAGTAGCGCAAAATGTACGCGCCGAGAAAGAAAGTTCTTTGGTTCGCGATAACTACTAGAATTGTAATATTAAAATTACAAATAATTTTCAATGTATTAATCCCCGATCATCAAGCAGATGCATTTAAAAGACCTTTGGATTCTGCGGAGAAAGTGTCTCTCTGTGACCAAATAATTAATTTTTTATTCGATGGTCTTACACGTTGGGATGGAGAATATTTTTTACATATTGCAAGATATGGATACACATATGAGAATACTCTCGCTTTCTATCCGTTGTATCCAACTATGATTCACATTATCGCTGTTATTTTAACAAAAGTATTTCCTTTATTCAATATGCAAAGTATGATGATCATCGCTGCGATTTTAATTAATTTCGTGTGTTTCGTAATGTCTGCTATTATATTTTATGATCTCACTGAGAGTGTATTTCAAAATACTATAACGGCTTACAAAGCGGCCATACTTTATTGTATAAATCCGGCTAGCATATTTTTCTCGGCGTTATATTCAGAATCTATATTTGCGTATTTAACATTTTACGTTATGCTCGGAAGTATCAAGTGTATGTCTAACACCTATTTTCCATTGGCTTTATCAACTTTAGTGAGATCAAATGGTATCATCAACATTGGTTTCCCTATATATTTCAAGCTTAAGAATTTGTGTAATTCAGAAAGAATAGAAGCACATGGAAAACATAACGTACTATCAATCTTATGGCATATTTTAAAATTAATGAAATTAAATAACTATTTTACTATATTAAGCATAATGATTAAATCGCTATTTCCATTTGTCTTTTTACAATTATACAATTATATGAAATTCTGTACTTCTACATTCGATAAATCGTTGTTGCCAGTTCACATTTTACAATATGCTGTAGAAAATAATCTGATTCTAGCAGGTAAAACAGATTCAATATGGTGTAACGCTAGTGTGCCTTTAGCATATTCGTATGTGCAAAAGACATATTGGAATGTCGGATTCCTAAAATATTATCAATTCAAACAAATACCGAATTTTGTCAATGTATAAAAGAATTTGCTAGTGAATATAGAGATGAATTATACTTGTTAGGCTTTTTTGATAGCAAGCCAAAAAGCAAAAATATTAAAGTAAAAAAATATCCATCAAGTATGTTTGTTTTTGTAGTACATGGATTATTTTTAACTATATTTTGCTTATTCTTTGTACATATCCAAATTAGTACACGTTTATTAGCCTCTGCAACTCCCTTGATGTATTGGCACTGTGCATTAACCATGTCTCACAAATGTACCAATCATATCAATTTACAGTATGAAAGTGATGAAAATATGTGCTCTAAATGGAAAGTATTTTTCTTATATCAAAAACAATATACATTACAAGATAAATTTATATTATTTTACTTTATAGGATATATAATCGTAGGTTGTTTTATGTTTTCAAATTTCTTGCCATGGACTTGATATATATTTTATATGGAATGTGTGCTTCCTTTTTGTCTCTTCGTTTGTTTCTGTTGCAAGAACATTTCAAATATATATGTATATACAAAGAATAAATCTTTATAATCAAAGAGTACTATTTACGAAGAGTACTAAAATATTTATTCTATATAAATATTTAAAAGAATACAACTATTTTTACGAATTTTGAAATACATACATATAAACATTTGACTACATTGTAGATAACATGTATATATAGAACTCTATCAATATAGGCGCTAATGAAATACTTATATGTATATCTCTAATTGTAAATAAAAGAAGAATCCGTTCTATGTGAAACAAACTTTACTTCTAATAAACCATATATTCCATTTATGTACAATCGGTAACCATATATCCCATTTATAACATTTATACAATAGATATTTTAACTTTCTTTAATATGCAATTTTTTATGCTTTAATATTTCGATAGGTGTAAGATATAATGTTAGCAAACAATCAGGACATTCGTATGCTTGACTATTAGCTTTACGTGTACTATTTTCACTTTTTGCATCAACGGTAATCATATCTGCAATTTTACAAGAGTTCTGATGTTGAAGTTTTTCAATACTCGACAGGATTGCTTGGAGATTACAATTTTGACAATGCCATTCGGTTTCTTGCATTTCTGCAATTAGCTGTTCACTCCAATTGGTTTCTTTTATACTGTAATGTAACAATTAAAATTTCATTAATGAAAACAATGATCTTTGTATTGTATTGATTAATAATTATTATAATTTTACATTTTATACAATAATAGCAATTTAGCAAATTATATGATTTTTGTTATATTAATTATATTATATGATTTTTTTATACTTACCAATTATATGTAACATTATTTGTTACAAAAACTCCACCTTTAATTATATTTGGTATACTTGTAAAATCGGATTGGAAAGGATTAGGCTCTATACTCTTATCATTACAACCATTACCAACATATATCATTTTTAGATCAGCAGGTAACAGTCGTTTTATGGTGTATGGTAACATAGTATGCATATATTCAATCAGTTCTTGCGTAAGACATTGCTCAACTTTACTAAAATCTTTTCTTTCATCATTAACATCATTGGGTCCTAATATAAGACTTATATTAATTTTGCTACATATTTAACATTCTGGAAAAATGTACACACCCAACTTATTTGCAAATGCATTTGTTACCTTGCAATTGCTGGTTTAATAAAAAGTCCCACTTATTTCTTAATTTGATAGCTTTCATCAACAAAATTTGGCCACTATCAGGCGTAGGAAATTCTAACATAAGCCACAGATCGCATACTATTCTACAAGATGTAAAAACAGTTCCATCTTATCATTAAACTGTTATTATCTCATTAAAAAATTATAAATTAAGAAATTAAAAAATTTACAAAGGTAACATACTTACATAGAGAATGTACTGTTTGTGTCTATTTCATGTGCAAATAATAGCAATGTTTGTGCAGCAGGCATTCTTAAAGTATTTACTAGATATGGTTTTGTAGTTTCCAAGAGAGACCTGTTAGCATATTAAATGAAATGTTTAAAAATTTACTTACATTTGATATGCATGCACGCACGCATACGTGCACACACACACACACACACACACACACACACACACACACACACATGCAATATCTTACAGATACGCCAATATCTGATGTTTACAACTAACGGGAGTTTTGCTCTTAAACCTTGGTATTGACATTACATCTGTTTCTTCAATTTGCAGAACTTGTGGATGATTTCCAAAAAAGCTCATTGGATGCAAAGCAACGTATTGTTTCGCTTTAGTATGAAACAATTGCTCACTTGTAGACTGGATAATAGTTTGAAGACATATTTATTATATAAGTATATCATTTTAAATATATACAGAATGATTCATAATTAAAAATATTTTAGAACATTTTTTAAAAATTTATTATTTAATTCAGAAAGCACAAAATCATCTATATTCATAATATTCTTCTCTAGTTTTGAATTTCTCTATATTTAAGCCAAAGTATTAATATGTATTTAAGAGAATCATCTTACATACAATATATAATTTTTACCTTGCAATAATTAAACTCGTCAGCACAAGCAAATTGTGGATATAAACCACTACATAATATCAATTTTAACATTGTTAGATCTTTATAGGTACATGCAGTCGACGCCGTTAAAAGATTCTGCACCTGACTCGAGTCATTTCTCATTCGAAATTCTATATCTTTTATGTCAAGTTTTCCATTATCTTCATCATTATCCTCCAATCGTATATCGAATGTTTCTATTTTTAATTGTTTACGTCTTTTAGGTTCACTTTGTTTGTAAGTTCTTTTGAGAGATTTCAAAAGTTTCAGTTCTCCATGTCTTATGGCACGTTCTGCGCTCGTCATGGAAGAATTTGGTTCTGAGAGACTTTTGAGTAAATTGCAATCCTGCATGATGTTACATACATAAGCAACAAGTATTAGATATATGTAATGATATTAGATATCTATGTAACAAATGTATGAAAGATAAAAACTAACTTGAAGTAAATCTTTAAATTGAGCCCTTAATTTTGTCATTTCGTAAAATCGTTGTTCTTCCAAACCTCTTCTTTTGCACCATTTTCTGCTACTATTACTACTGCTTCTGTATTCTTGAGAATTTTCTTGTTTCACTTCTAGCCATTCTTTAAATGCATTCAATAATGTTATTGGATCACCATGATCGGATTCCAACTTCTTTCTAGATATCTGCAATAGATATCGAAATTGTTTAATTATGTAATTAGCAATAAGCGCAGTCCTTTCATTCGTAAGCATTAATTACTTCACATTCGGTATCCCTGTAAGCCCTATTTGTGAATGGTGTTTGTATACTTAGAGCAGCGGCCAGTGACAATACAGGTTCCACTTGATGAAAAATAGATCCCATTATTAACATCTTCCCTATTGTAATATCAACGGGTAGTCGTGCTAAGGTTTTACCGATACATGTGATCTTTTCGTTATCCATAAGTGCATCCTAATAAGAAAAAAGTTAAACTTTATATCTGATATTTTGCGAGAAAAACAAAATCGACTGGGATACCAACGTGATCTTTTAAGGATAGTATAGCATTCTCTATACTATTTGTTGGTGGTGGTTCTATAAATGGAAACTTTCGCGCATCAGGAAGTCCCATCGCTATCATTTGCAATAGTGAAGAATCTAAAGGTACACGTTGTAATTCTGGCGTTGAATATTTTTCTAACATCTTGTACTCTTCCTCTGAATAAATTCTGTGAAAGTGGATGAAATAATATTATTTATTCCTGAACATTTTTTCATGTAAAATGATAGGAAATTCATACAGATTTATTTGGACCTATATTATACCTATAACAAACTCCAGGTCCAGTCCTGCCTGCTCTTCCTTTTCTTTGTTCCGCACTAGCCTTGCTTATCCAAAATTCTTTTAGTCTTTGCATTTTACACGACGGATCATAACTCATTTCCTTTACTTTTCCACTATCTGCGACAAATCTGATTCCATCAATGGTAATAGAAGTTTCCGCAATATTAGTTGCGACAATACACTTCCTAACACCGTCAGGTGCATAGTCAAATACCTAGGAATGAAAAGAAAAAATAACTTTTGATATTCTTTTGTAATATATATGATTTGTCAAAATAGTCAAAATATCGCAGAAGAAGTATACCTTGTCTTGTTCAATGATAGAGAGAGTACTGTGAAGTGGCAAAACTATCCAGTTATTTTTTTTTATACTATATTCCTTGGCAGCATCTACGACTGCAGTAATTTCACTTATTCCGCTCAAGAATATTAATAAATCACCTTTCTCATCGACTGAAATATTTTTATCGCTGTGATTATTTTAATTTATATTTGTATGAGATAATATTAAATAAAATTTAGTGAATAGAAAATAATCTTATTTTTATTCCTTATCATAACTTTTTCATTTTACATTACTGTTATTATTATTAGATATTATTATAACATAAAATATAAGTTTTTTTACCTGGATATTTTTGATCAATTATTTGCATAATTTGCACATATGGGCTGGGATTAAATCGATAATTTTTGTATCTGAGATCTTGTACAGTTACAGGACGATATAACAATTGAATGGAATATAATCTTCCAGGAACCTTTGAAGAAAATACATGAAAAATCTTGGTAAAATACTTGACATATTTAATTTATACTGAAGTATTTAAAATTGCATTGATGTGATTATACATGAGCTTTTGAAATTATTAAAATATTATATTCTGAAAAACACACACACACACACACACACACACGCGCGCGCGCGCGCGCGCATTTACTTACTTACTTACTTACTTCTATTATTTTAACATTTTCCTTTGCAAAATAATTACTAAAAAGTTCTATATTGATAGTGGCAGACATTAAAACTAATTTTAAATCAGATTTTTGATAAATAATACATTTCATTATGCCAAGTAAAAAATCTCCGTGCAGATGACGTTCATGCACCTCGTCCAAAACTATCACGTCATATGCAAGTGAAGTCGACTCACTTGACACCTAAATGAAACGATGATTTGTATTCTATAAAATTTGTCAAGACTATCTCTACTTACTAATTTGTAGATATTTAGATATTTACCTGACGCAATAATAAACCCTCTGTTATAAATGTAATGTTCGTCTCTTGGTTCCTTTGTTTCTCAAAACGTATCTGATATCCAACTGTACTAAGATTATCGCTCAATGTTTCAAAAGCAACTCGTTTTGCTAAGGAGATGCATGCTATTCTTCGGGGTTGTGTACATGCTATACAAGTGTATTACAAATGTATTACAAATGAGTTGAAAAAAATTAGACATTTCGCAATACACACACATATATATATATATGTGTATATATATATATATATATATACATATACATACATATATATATATATGTGTATATATATATATATAATAATAAAATGATATAAAATATTTAGACTGATAATGAGACAAAAAAAATGTTACCAATCTTTTGGAAACCAGCTTCGTACAAGTATCGAGGGATTTGAGTAGATTTTCCACAACCAGTGTCTCCTGCTATGACGATTACCTTCTCTGTCTTTACCATTTCGACAATTTTTTCTTTGTATCGTGTGACTGGTAAGTTAGCTTGGGTGTCTCGAAGTTTTTTTAATTTGGCAAATTTCTCCTTTTGTTTAAAGTCCAAGTATAAGAGTATTACATTCCTGAACTTGA